TGCAGCATACAAAAACATAAAGAGCAGCAAAAATTGGACATGTCGTAGCATAAAAACTGTAAAATTTGGGTATATTAGAGCATAAAACCGGTAAAAATTGAATTGCATCACAGCAGAAAACAGCAAAATTAGGCGTGTTACAGCATAAAAACAACAGAAATCAGGCTTAGCACAGTACAAAAACATGAAAATTGGATGCGTCAAAGCATACAAAACATCAAATATTAAGCGTATTACAGCATAAAAACATAAGTGTCAGCAGCATAAAACATAGCAAAAGCAGGTCATATTAAAGCATAAAAACAATCAAAAATGGGTATAAAACAACATTAAAAACAGTATTCCACGTGCGTTCAACTACGGCTCAAAAATTTAAACATTAAAAGAATGGCAAAACTGGCATCCACCGTCAAATCTTGGGGATCTTCAACTGGTAGGAATTAATCCTAGATCACCAAGAATGGATTACGTGTGTAAATTTCTTAATTTAAACAATCCATTTCGGTTAGAATCACGTGAATTCCTTCGCACCTCATCACTGTCGTCACGCAAGACACAGTAATCCGTCGCGTGAAAAATGACGCGCAAATATAAACTGTCACGTGACGTACTTTCCGACACGTCGATTTAAGCTTCCTTTTTTATTATTATTATCGCAAGACCGTTTTTTCCCCCTTGTATCCTCGCTGTTAGCATTGTGGCTCGACAATAGGAAAAAGGCAAAGAGATTTGGCAAAGGTGTTTCACGTGACTCATACCCAGTTGCAGATGTACCAGAGATTTTTTCGTGTTGCATGACAGCTGCAGAAACATTCTCACGACCTGTTGCTCACTTGACAAAGGCAGAAGTACTAACGGATCTGAAAAAAAAAAAAAAAAAACAGGGGGTGTCCCATTACATCGGCACCGCGTGCCTTAGCATAGGCCGCACAGTTCAAAGAAGTCTGGACACGTGCTGTACCCCGCAAACGCATGAAAGGACGACACAACTTTTTTTTTTATTTTTCCTCTCCCCTGCCCCTTTCCCCCTTACTTTCTTTGTGGTTCTTCTCCTTCCGAGCAGGGACATGCTTGTTTACTACTACTACCACTACTTCCCTTTTCTGCTCTTATCGCCGCTGGATGCCGAGTCACGTGATGGCCCTGAGACCTAATTGCTTCACGTGGTTAGGTAAAAATCGACAATGCGTCCGGCATACTTGCTGGTCACGTGGTCTCCCGGCTCTCCCCCCCCCCCCGAAACCGCGCGACATTCTTAGCGCGCGGCTTCGGAAAGTTAGGCACGCTTAGAAATGCGAGAGGCGATTTTTGCCACCGTAATTGCGCCACTCCCAGCTTAAAAATGAACCACTTAAACCTCCACGTTACGTTTAAGTCCGCCAAACGTCACGCGGATCATCTGGGGAATGTTTAAGTACGGCTTTCAGATGGCGTCACGTGACCAGTTCCGACATTTAAAGGAATTCGCCGCATCCATCAATTACTTGCCCCCCTCTTTGATCCGTGGGCAGGACCCACTAGAAATAAAAAAAAAAGCACTGCATGAATAGAATCTTCTGTCGTCGCCCGACCGAGGATGGATGATTAAAGAGATTCTTGTTATTTTTTTTCCTTCCTTCTTCTTCTTCTGTTGCTGCTGCTGCTGCTGCTGCTGTTGCTGTTGCAAGGAGCTTTCTCTACTGAAGAAAGTGGATCCAGGAATAGAATGGTGAAAGAGAAAGTGAAAAATCCATGAAAAAAAATCCAGACGTGAACAATTGCCGATTTCAGGAAAATGGAGAGTGGAATGAAGAGTAGTGAGGGCATCGAATAGAGTATTATAAAATATGAGTAATGCCCCTAATGCCCGATGATGTCGGGCGTAAAAGGCGTATAAAGAGGTTGCCGTTTTATAAAAATGTGAAAGGCATAAAGAGGCATATGACAGGAGAGGCATAATGAGGCTGTGAAAGGCAAAAAGAAACGTATGGCAAGAAGGGGTAAAGTAGCTACTATTTCATAAAACAAAGGTAAAATAATTACCATTTTATACCTTTAACGACAATTTATGCTCATTTTACGGAACTTTACGGTGCATTTTAATCGTTGCCGTTCATGCCTTTATATGGTACACCGAGACGTCACGTCGTACATTTCGATCATTAAAACGCTTGAATCTACGTCCCACTGGCTGTTTCAAGTTACGAGAGGGGCCTAAAACTTCTCAGTTTTACAACTTAGGGCCTTTATCACGCGTAGAGTCAGATCGAATGTTGGCAAGAGTACGTTTACACGTGTCCGAGATCCTTAAAAGTGCGAAGCTGCTAGGTATTGTGTGACACGCGATAAAAACGAAAAGAATAAAGGCGCAAAAAAAAGGCCTCGAGACAAGAAATAAACGTGTCGTCACGTGACGATTTCGCACACGTTTTAGTTGGGCAAACAAAGAGAAAGTAATTCGGACAGGCCTCGGTCAAGCCAGTCAATGGAACACGAAATCCGACATCTGCAGCACACAGGAACGATTGTGAAAGCTGGTGTTGTCGGTATTTGCACGCACGCAGCTCCCTTTCACTATCCACCGCGTGGAGAATTCCACCCCTTTCAGACCCAGGAAGGATTAAGTGCGCTTCTTGTGCACCTTACACCTCTATGCCAGAGGCCCACAATGAACCCTATTCATCGTCCCCGCTCTTACTATATTTGGCTCACCCTGCCACGTGATATTGTGCTGGATACAAGAATAAAAAAAACCAAGATCCGGGATAGTGTTTTGCTGTGTTTACTTTGCATCCACTCGTTCTTTGTTGCTTCAAACTCTTCGATTGCTGCAGCGGGGTCGAAGATAAACACATAAATAAGCTAACAAACACTGTTTAAAATGTTACACGCTCGAGCGACTCGAGATCTCGTGATTAGTTTTTCGTTCCCCTACCCCGGTTTAGCGTTTTTCGCTCGTCGAAATGCGCATTTCGTGATCGTGTCGTGCGTACACGCGACGTGGATTCACGTGTTCGTGCGTGACAGTTCGAATTACTTTAAGTGTGATCGGTTCGAAGCGTGGGGTGTACGCGCGTGATGCAACACGTGACAAAACTCGGTCGTGTGTCGCGTGACATCACATTAAATGAACGGAATGTGCATTGATCAGGTGACTAGCAACATTAAGTGAGTAAATTACACATTGAATTCGAACTACTACAAATACAGTGTTTTTGAGGGGTGATCGTGTGAGTGTTGAAACTTTATTTAAGATTTTATACTTTTAGGGAACGATTGCATGATTAAAGGGCACGTTCGGTCCTGATTTAAGGCTTGGATAATCACATGACTAAACATTTAGGGGGTGATTTCGCGACTAAGTGTTAAATTAAATCTTAATTGAAAGCTTTTATATTTTCAGCGGGTGATCAAGTGACTACATTGCGCAATAAATTCTAATTTAAGGTTAAAATATTCAGGTATAATTATCCAACGTTTGAATCGTTATCACACACGCACACGCACACACCCGAAACACCAGTCGAAACTACCGAAGATGCTGGAAGATTGCATGATTACGGATGATAACAATATAACACCTGTAGAAAGTTTAACAGGGTGAAGATTGTAGAGTTGTACACTAAAAAACGTTAGCCGAAAGACAAAACTAACGCGTGACTGAGGCCAAAATAAGACGATTATAGTCTGAGTCACGCGCCGGTACACTTGTGTTGTCCCCTAATTTCTAGGTTAAGCTAATGCCGATCACGTATCCTTTTACATCACGCAGAATTTCATTACGAAGTCGCGTGACCGTACAAATCTCGTCTTCTACCTCAAACTACACACGTCACACGTACGAGCCGTCTAATCACGTGACCGAAAAGAACGTGAGAAAACACCAGAGACTGAAAAGACCAACACACAACACACGTGCCGCTCGATTTTAAATATTAAAAAAAAAACTATACGATTCTTGCAAGGGGGTTGATTAATGGCGCGTGAGGGAACACCTGTTACGTTTATGTGGAAGAGCGCGTGTTGCAACCGTTTCACGAGGAACACGTGCGAAGCGGAGACAAAAAGAGAGCGGGAACCAGCGGTTTAGACCAATCAAAGACAGAGCGGAAGAAGGGGAGGAGGACGGCGATTGGTAGAGAGAGGAAGCGATTGTTAACTTAGCTATTTCACCTGACGGCTATACACTTATCGTTAGAGCAGTCAAGTGTTTGGACAGGATGACGTTGCCAGCCGAAAAACCGTTGGGACTAGGTATAAGGCCCAGTGAAAACAGAAGGGTGAGGTCTTGTTTATTTTCTTACTTTCCTCCTTCTTTTTGTATTTGTAGTGTTTGTTTCCCTGTTTCAAAGCGTCAAAACTAGACACTGCACCCCTTAGATTCCCCAAAAAAATCCACTTCGGAGGTTTTACATCGCTTCGATCTTCAGCATCTTCAACGCGAACTACGATTTCGAAGCGTTAACACCGGAATTCCTCACCCCTCGATCTCTGAAATTGGAATTTTTTGGCGAAATTTCTGAAATGATGCCACTCTTACACCGCTCCGGAACTCCAAAAATTGAAAATCAGGGCATATTTTTGCCATAATGCTCGCGCGATTCTTCCTCGAAATCGGATAGAATGCCCAAAAACACGCGGTTCAAATTCAATTTCGATGGTTTCCAGTGTGATATTGTCACAAATCTACCATAAAATGCCCTTAATTATGGGCAGTGTTGTAGTAAACGATGGGCGTGAAAGAGAGCGCGTGATGGATAAGTGGAAATGGTGGAGGGAGATCCTGTCCATCAGTCATTTACTTCCATTGACGGGTGTGTTTATCTGAGTAACGGTGTCGGGCGTCACTTGATCGATCTGGTGTGAAATGGGCTTAACTGTGTGAAAATCTCATTAAAGGGTTAAGGCCCATTTAAGGGTCTTTCTTTGTACCTTTGTCAAAATGGTGGATTTTTGTATTTTTCAGGCATCGAAACCTTTGATGGAGAAGAAGAGAAGGGCGAGAATAAATAAAAGCTTATGCGAATTGAAGTCACTTATCTTGGATACGGTCAAACAAGAAACACAGGTCAGTATCTTACCCTTTTTTTTATTGGTAAACAGACACGAAACACGTTTTATGAACATGTTTTGGTAGTTTAAACCACTTTTTTACGACATAACACGCAAAACAATCAAAACTTTAACGTCACGATGTACTTTTATGACGTAACAATGAAAATATTCCGTAGTTTTACACTTCTAAATGACGTAATAGTAAAAATATTCCGTTGTTTTACACCTTTGAATGACGTAACAATGAAAATATTACGTTGTTTTACACTTTTAAATGACGTAACAATGAAAATATTTCGTTGTTTTTAAACTTTTTAAATGACGTAACAATGAGAATAATCAATTAAACATTTTTAATGACGCAACAATATAAATATTCCATTTTAAAAAACTTCAATGACGCAACAATGAAAATGTTGTTTAAGACTTTTTAATGACGTAACAAACAAGTGTAACTGATTTTAAACTTTTTATGACGTAACAATACAAATATCCCTTTTTTAAATTTAAATTTAAAAAAAACCTCTTAACGACACAACAACGAAAAATCATCCGTTTTAACTGTCACAATCCGTCGAGTGTGACGTAGCCGAGATTTTCAAAATTACCGGCCTTCGAGAGTGACGTCACGATTTAAAATAATAATAATAATTAAAAAAGCAGTTAATTTGCAATTAAGATTAAACAAAATTAAACCAAACATGCCGATTAAGCCCAAACCCTAACGCCCTGATGGGTTTATCAGGCACGTGATTTTTCAGTAATTAGGGGGTTTTCCCTAAAGAGTAAGGGTTGAAAGCTTCCGACTGGATGATTAACACCAATAATAAAATTTGTCTCACGCGACGTGCCCCTCCGACTTATCAGATATCAAGGGCCGAAGCTGTCGTAAATCTCTGCAGGGCAAGGGCGTTACCTATCATCACCTTTAATCACAGAAAGGCTTAAAAAGTGCCGATGAGATGATAAGGGGGTGTTAATATTCATTTTTTTTCTATCTTCCAGAACCCTCGACACTCCAAGTTAGAGAAGGCGGACATCTTGGAAATGGCTGTCAGACACCTTCAAACCCTTCAGGGACAAGATAAAAAAGGTAAAAGCAGGTTTTTTTTTTCTTCTTGTGTGTGTGGGGATTTTTTTTCTCGTGTAATACGGAATTTGGGGCCCGTATTTTTATTATATTTAGCTGGATTTACGCAGCTAAACATGCTCTTTCGACGAGAATGCGGCTTAGGGCCTCGCTTTTTTTTAGGGCGGCTTCACTCTACGACGATGCCGATTAGGGTTTCGTTTCACGACCTTCTGCTTAGGGCCTCACTTTATGAGGAAACAGTTTAGGGCTTCACTTTACGAAGGTACAGCTTAGGGCCTCATTCTACAAAGATATAACTTAAGTTTTCATTTTATGAGGTTCTGCTTAGGGCCCACTTTATGAGGCCTCGTTATACAAAAATACAGCTTAGGATTTTATCCATCGAGAATAAACTTAGAGCCTTACTTTACAACGACACAGCTTAGGGCCTCACTTTACGAGGATAATTCTTTACGACGAGATTACAAGTTTAGAGCTTTACTCTAGAGTATTCGGCTTGATGCCTCTCGTATTTAAACTTACTGTATTACTATTTGGTACGAGATTAAGGGGCCTCCTCGGGTCCTTACGAAATCTCAACAGAACGAAAATATTTCACGTATTTAAATAGGAATTTTCTGAATTTCTCGTGTTTCATTTCAGATATTTACACCTCGAAATTCCGAGCCGGGTTTGAGGAATGCACGAGGGAAGTGGACCGCTACTTTTCCGAGGATCCAAAAGTGGACCCCTCACTAAAATCCAGGTTATTGACTCACCTGGGCGGTTGCTTATCTTCACTCCGTCCAGAGGAAGAAGAGGCCAAACCGGAAGCGGAGACAAAACGCGACGACCCCAAAGTGGTTCCTTTAATCGTCAGCAGACTACCAAACGGCCAGTTGGCCTTAGTGATGCCCGAAAAGTGCCAATGTTTACCTGTCATAAATCTGCCATTGGATTTATCCAACCGACCCAAGGAATTCGTTGGCCCCCTGTGCCACCATCCCGACCCTAAACTTCCTCATCGTCTGGGGCCCGATGAGGTGTGGCGGCCTTGGTAGTAGGCCCAAAACTGTAAATAACCCAAGCGTATTAAGTCTACAGAGGAGAATCACAAGCACGAAGCACCCCTTGGGAGATTCTTAATCCACAGGTTGATGAGGATGATAGGGATGATCCCATTCAAGTAAAATAAAAATCATAGAAAAAAGTACAACGATGCAGTAATGTGAGCAAATATTTTTAGGCTCTTATTGGGTACCGTAATACAAAGCGGAGGGGCCTCAGAGGGCCTCTAAATTATGAAATGTAAATATTTAATTTTAATTGTTTTCATTTAATTGTAGTTAGAATATAAATTAATAAAAGTACGAGCAAAAGTTTTTAATTATTAAATTGTGTTTTCCTTTAATGGTAATTGGCACTCCATGGTTTCTTAATTAAGACACGAATCTAATTAATCGTGTTAATTTAATTATAATTAGGATATTATCATGGAATTTTTATAATTATAATTAAAAAATACAACCTGAATGCAAAGTACAGCATCAAAACTCAATTTATATGTACTCATCCGAAGACGTGGGTTCGGATCTTACTCGAATATTTATTCGGTAAGGTCCGAACCCACGACGAATATAAATCATAATATATAAACTAGATCTATACGCAGTATGGCACAGATCTCACTCGGATGTTTAGAAAGTATAGGGTCCGAACCCACGACTTTTAATAAAACTCAATGTATGTGCTCGAAAACATGGGTTGTGATCCACGAATTTGGACGTAAACCGTATAGCAAATAAATTCAATTTATGTAGACGTAGGTTCGGATCCTATTCAAGTAGGATCCGAACCTACGATTTTCGATATAAACCTATAAACTATATGTCAATCTAAAGAAGTAGATTCGGAACTTACTCGAGTATTTAGTTGTATGGGGTCCGAACCCTGGTCTTTAAGCCTTACCTCTTCATTTATTTCTATAAATAAGCAATTAATTTACATACTAAGGCTTAAATTTAAGATATTATTTGTAAATTTACGTATTGTCACTTAAAATTCTCAATGTAAATTAGAATTAAAAGTAGAACAGAGAGGGGGGTATAAAAAAAACCCTTTTAAATCAGAACAGGTAAGTAGGCCACATCTGTAGCACGATGTTTACAGAAGTATTAAATCTTTGGCACACCCGTAAAAACCAGAATTTGGCACGAACACGGCACGAAATAAGCCATGAACACCTTCAAAGAGGGACGTTCAGAAACGCTTAACGCGCTGCAAGGGGGAATAAAATTGATTAGGTCGTGCCCAACGCTTCAATTTAAGGAATTCTCTCTTTCTATATATAAAAATAAGAATTCTTTCAATGGGTGGTCACACGACACTAGTTTATAGACTTAAACACATACCCAACAGGATAGATCCATTGTTACAGTGAGGGATGGCATGCTTTCAGCACCACACCTCTTTGACGTATCAATTTATGCACCACCTGTATACAATCGGCAGATGCAATTTTTTAGGCCCTTCAACGTGATTAGAATTTGTTGATTCGCACGTGGCGCCACGTGGTAGGCGTCCTTGATAAAGGGCCCATACTTCAAGTCTGACAAGTGCTCAGATCTGGTTGAAGATAATATCTCTTGGACAAGATTGAACATCATATTAAATTATCTTTTTTTTTTGTAATTACGTGTTGCCTTAAAGATTATATATTTGAGGATTTATAAATGGAAATCCGCAAAAAAAATAATTAAAAAAATGCCATAAAAACTCATCATTGTAGTTAAATTCCTCTATCTGTTTATGTAAATGAGCTGTGCCCAATGAAGATCTTGCATGGTTAATTTCGTCTATTTTCTTTGTTTTTTGGCTAAATTTCTGGTTCTTGTTTGTAAATTAAGGTATTATTTTGAAAAATAGAGACTTTAGAGTTAATTCGAGTTTAGAAAATTATGTAAAATGTAAATTTTAGTGTAAATTGCTTGGAATTTCACGCTGAATTCCTTAGAGTTTAAGGTGTATATTTGAGTTTTTAAAGGGTTTCATGCTTTAAGAAACCTTTAGAAACCATAAGCAATGGGAAATAATAATGTTGATATAAATTAGAAAGCTATTCAACTCTCTAAGCTTAGATTTACGAAGATAAGGGGAAGCTTTTTCAATCTACAAAGTCCACCTAAAGACGATAATACACAGGAGCCAGCGAGTCCATTATGGCTTACCAATGCCACTCATTCATCCAAATAATTTAATCTCATAGCAAGTGAACCCTTTAATTATCTCCAAAAATCCAAGAGGAGGACCTCGAAAAGAGCAGAAGGCACCAATACCAAGGGTTTATCACGAGAAACAAACTCGGGAAACAAAGAACATTTACGAAATCACCCGGGGTGAAGGTAGAGCAATGCGGAAGCAATTGCCCACCTATAATTACTACCCCCTGCTTTATTATTATCGTAGATGTGGCTTCGTTATACAGATGGTAGCAGCAAGGGGGGAGGGAAGTAAATCCGGCACGCGCCCGGGACTACTTAAACTAAGTTTTTGCCTACAAAAATCGACGAGGAGAAGAGAGGAAGGGGGGGGAGAGAAAGCGAGATTTGTAGAACGCCAACCGGTTTGAAGGCCCCCATTTTTTTTTTTTTTTTGGTGGTGGGGTAGCAGATGTTAATAATTACCGTTCGTCTTTAAACTTTACAATCTGGGGTGGTCCACCGCAACTTCAAGGTCTGGAGTGTCATGTCTGTTACCAGCCAAGCAGCTGCTACACTTTGTTTTTATGGTCTTAATAACCGGTGTTTTTTTATTGATAGGGTTTCATCTGTGCACTGTACGTACATACATACATACAGACAATTTCCTCCCCCCTTTACTGTCCTTCCCTTCCACCTGTAAGTAAGTAGTTTGCAGGTTTTTTTTTTCTCTCCTCCCCTCCTGAGCTCTGAAATATTAAAATTCTTGACTATGTCATTATATAATGATGCCAAGGTCCATTTTTGGATCTCTTTCACCTGTCAATTGGGGTATTGACGCAAGATCCTCTGTGAAATTCCTAACTGGATCATTAATTCTCGTGTTTATAATGTAAAGTGTAATTGATCGAGTTAATAAATAAACAAGTTAAATGGTATTTTTTCCATAGAGATAGAGGATGGGACATCTTTAAGAAGGTCTTCTTACGTTTCTTCGTCGACGGGGTGGTCCAAAAGTCAGGTGACCTCTCGGTTAAAGTTACACAAGAAAGAAGAAGTCGAAGATTTATAGTGTTCAACCGACTTTTGGTCCATTTAGTTTACCATTAAATAGCATATTCGAACCAAGTTTAATGGTAGTTTTTCCATTACGATGAAGGATACAGAAGACCCCTTTAGTAAGGTCTTCTGTATCGACAGGGTGGCCCAAAAGTCAAGTAACATTTTTTAATTTCTTTGATGTAAATTTACAGAGAAAAGAAGTGAACTTAAAAGAGAACAGACAGGCAAATTTACAGACGAAATCAGGTAAATTTACCTTCTTTTACCTGATGTTTAGATAGAACTTAGACAAACTAATTTACTTTGAAGATACTTGCAGAATTTACTTAACAAAATCACAACTTGTGGCAGTGTATCGACGATAAAAAAGTCTCTTCAACGAAGTCGAAACCTGTGGGAAACTCCATAGAACAGGTTTAGTTTCAGTAATTTTAGATGAAAAAAGAATAGAGGGTATCTTAATCGGCTCCCCTCGAAGACTTAGTGATGGTCACTTGTGATAGAGAGCTGCACGTGGCTGAAGAAACATCATGAGGGACGACCTAAATAGCCTTTTAACGCTTATCAGAGGAGTAGTGATTCGCATCTCAGATCAAAATCTCCTCTTGTTAAGCTTTCGACAAGAGGATCCTTTGTATAAGAGTTAAAGGCATCGATAAAGTCATTTCGAATTTTTCACCAGACAAAAACATTCGCCCACCCCCTTTAAAAAAAAATGCTTTTGTATAGGTAAAATATGCACTTTTCTTCTATTAATTCTGTCAAAAATACAAAAATTTCGCCCCCTTTGGCTACGTGAAACGTAAAAAATTATAACTAGACCCATTGTTTGCTTCATAAACTCACATTTGAGGCCCTTCATTAACACTTGTATGAACCAAAAATCTTATAAACTCTTCTATTTGGACTCAGTTTTCATTGTTTGGATCATATTCTTGTATAGGAGGCCCTCGTAGAACGTTTTATAAGGGCCTCTTTATAAGTATTATACTCGAAAACACTTGAATTTATCGTTTAATGACTGAAGCTTAGTCTAGGGTCAAATTCTCATGGTTTAAATCAAAATTTTGTGCGTGAAACGCTAAAAATAAACTTTATAAAGACCTTTTGCGTTAAATAAACCTTATTTTTTTTAATTGTATGGAATTGCCCGACCCACTTACGAGTTCGGAATTTGTGGGCTTAATTCGAGCTTCGTAGTGGGTTCAATTCTAATTGTTTGGGTCAATTTTACGCGTAGGGCCCCTCGAAAATGTTCCACAGAGGTCTTGTCATTCGAGAAAGCCCAAATTTAATCACGGATTTATAATAAAACCCCCATAAACATGGGCTCGAATTATGACCCAATTTCGGCGCAACTACGCCGAATTTTAGGGGTTTTTTTCAACCCGAAAAAACCCTAAAAAAACAAGGGATTTTAATACAGATTCTCCATTTTCCAAGCATAAAGAAGCAGGTGGATGTAGTGAACCGAACTTGCAACACCCCCGCTGTTCCCCAATCTGGCGAGGAGATGTTATCTACCCCCGAAAATTCGGTAAACCTCACATAGACTAGGAACAAGAGAGAGACCGTCAGATAAAGATCAAGACAATTTCTTCCCCTTTTTAAAAGGGCCGAGTTTTTGGGCAGAAGATGGCCATCCCGATAAGGAAAAGAAGGGGAGTGAGTGGTAGAACAGTTCAACAATACATTCGGCAATCGGAGGGGGTATCCTTGAGAACCTGGTACTAAAGACATTCGCAAGGAACCGGGGGTCCTTTTTATGTCCGTGGGCTTTTGGCTTTTTATTCGTCTCGGACTTTAAACCCGCGTATAACCTCGTGGCGCATTGTTGCCGGGAAACGTGGCCGAAAATTTGGGGGTTGGAATCGTTTGTTTCGCTGCCATCAATCAGGGGGGCGGGACAATGGCTAAATTGCTCTTTACACTGAACTTACTCCC